TTATACCCTGGGCACTATGTGTATAAGCGGAAATTTCATTTCCGCTTATACCCAACTGCCCAGGATATAACTATTACTTACATCTTTTTTATAGTCCTCAATCGCTTTATCCGTTGCTTTATCAACTACATAATTATCAGTACAATCTAACAACTCTTTTTCAGCATCAGCATTTTAAATTTGTTTAGAAAGATAATCGCGAGCTTTATTATGTTTATCTTCCCATTGTTTTTTATGATTTGGTGCGGCGATAATAAAGTAACTAAGAGCAAGTGATGCCTTCCACCATATAATTTTATTTAAACAAAAAATTTTATCAAAACATATTTAATAAGTAAAATAATAAACATTAAAATAAAAAAAGTAATAATAATAAAACAATAAAACTATGGTCTTCATCAATCTGAATTTTATCAAAATATCTAACTAATATTTCCTTTTTTCTTCTCTCAATTTCTTTATCTATGAAAATGTTTAGATTTAAAATAAAATTATTAGGATTAGAAATTTTATATCTAATTCTTTTGCTCTTCTCCTTGTATTATTTTTACAAAATATATTAATAACTATAATTTCATACGATTTAAGATTTTTACAATTCTCATAAAATAAATCAAGATTTGAAATTGCGAATCTTTTAACATTCTTTTCATTTCTTGCGGACAGAATTTTTTTGCCATTTGATACCAAAAAAAAATCAGAATATATATGTCTTGTTTCGAAAGCATAATGTATTTGAAATTTTCATTAATATTGACAAACTGATCATTAACGTTAAAATCAGCAATTAAAACTTCTCGTATAACAAGATTCTTAAATTCTTGAATCACTTTATTATTTGGTTTTTTCCTAAAAAAAGTAAAAAGGTATTAGTACTCATGTCTTCATCATGTTCATATTCTTGGTCCAGCAGGCCCCAAGAACATACAAACAGGTCTACATGGGCAATTCTACACTGTAGCTATGCACACCAGTGAGCTCACTCAACTACAGCATAACTTACACCCATTGTGCATTCAACAAAAAATACCAAGCGAGTAAAAAAACTCATCATGTTCATTTCTATATTCATTAACCATTCTTCATATTCTTTTTTTCATTTTTTTACAAAATTTAATTCAGACAAGAAAATCAAAGAAATCAAGATCTAATTATATGTGGTATTGTATTTAGTGCTATTTTTAAATGATCTACATGTAGAGATGCGGTTTTTTTCAAAAATCTCACATGTCACGCACGGAATTTATCTAGGTGCCGCGTGGTTGATCCTTGATTTTGATTGGACAACATCAGTTCAATCACCACTCTAATTAATTTTGCTAGCCAATCAGATTTCAAGATCTTGTGTAATGAAAAGAAGTGCAAAACAACAAAAAAACGCTTGTAGCTCAAAATTTTGCCTATAAAAGTGCCTTCTTCGTGAAATTTTACTTTAACTATAACCTTCTAAACCTACTGGTGGGACCCTAACCCTCAACTAATCACGAAACAGTTTTTTTTAATAAGATCACGTAGTTAGCGAAATTTTTTAGAGAGACTTATAGATTGGACAACGGCTGTGATCGACAAAATTCTGCCCGCGTTATACATAAGGCCACACAAATTTAATTAATTGATTTTCATATCATGAACGGGGATCTAGTAACACGGCCGCACGGATTTTTTTTTTTTTTGTAAAAAATTTTTTTTAAAAAATAAATATAAAACGCAATAGAAAAAAGTTCTTTCTAATTTGTATCAGATTTATTAAGCGTATAATTTCGCAATAAGATTACATAAATGCTGATTAATTGAAGTCAAAAATTAACTTTTATATATTGATACTATATATTTCTTTTTTAATATATGAGTGTTGCCAAGAGAAAACCCATAGATCTTATAAGATTTGTGGGGTTTCTCTTGACGGCACTCATATATACCCATTAATGTCCATTCCTACATATATATCTATGTAAAATTTGTAGTGTAGACAATGCTACAGAGCAAGTGTTTAGTGTTTCTATCTTATCTTTTATAAACATCTATCGAACCTGTATCAGATTATATATAAAACTAGCTTTGACGCTTCTTAATCTTAAGATCTGGATTAAAGGATCAATTCGACAGTTGGATTTAGAATCGAAATAATACAATTGCTTTTCCCAATAGGTAATTCGAAAAAAGTAAAATACTGCCCATCCTTTTTTTTTACAAGGTCACACTAGTTAATTTAAGGTGCTCTCAAGCACTAAATTTATAGGTCGGATCTCAATTTTTAATTAGTAAAAAAATTGAGTTTATCATTGCATTAAAAAAAAGATGGTCAAGACCATCTTTTTTTATCAGAGTTGTCCTGATTAGCTAAAATATAATATTCATATTTCGCATTATAAATCTTCCAGCAAATTAATCGTAGCGCTTGTGCACGATCTCGATCACTAGCAAAACTCATTAAGAAATATACTTGAGAATGTCCTTAAATAAGCCAAATTTCATAAGAACTAAGGCCTGCTAAAATTTAAAAATTTTAAGATCTTGATAAAATCGTGGGCCAGAGTTTAAAAACAGCAAAATGTGGGTCAAACTTTTAAAAAATTTTATTTTGCAGGCCGGCAAAAGTACAATTTCTTAGGCCTATACATGCCCCTACAACAAGCGCTAATTTTAAATTAACGTATTATCTGGTATAAGTCAACCCGGACGAGGTGCTTAAGAAAACCTAAATCAGATACTAGTATTACTAATTTTGGGTTATTACCAGAACCTTGCAAAGTACAATCTGCAATGCTTAACTGGCTTTTGTTGAATTAAAAAATTCTAAATACCTATTTTGGCAACAATAAGATGGATACGTATCATTCCATTGACAGTCACTTCACCGAGCACTCCATTACACGTCATAAGGAGTAATATTGAACAATGATTATTAATCATAGCTCTGTATAATAGAGTGTTCGGTGGAGCGATTGTCGATGAAATGATATGTATCCCAATAAGATATCTAAGTTTCACAGTTATACATAAAATTACTCACCCTACAAAAAACCAAGACAGTTTAACAATATTTTAGCTTCTAATAGTCATATTTCGAATATTAATGGTCACTGAGGATGGACAAAAGAACATGAACCCTATCGATACACTTAAGGTCACTGAGCCCTACACAAAAAAAAAAAAAAAAAGAAATGGGGTAACACTTAACAAAGTGACAAAACAATCTTTAAAGAATATAAACAAAGAAGTTGATCTTGCTATGGCTCAAAAATCAGCTTCTCCTGATAAGTGTAAAGAAATTGTATCTAATCAAAA